AATATATGTCATTTGCTATGAAAATAATTCAGCTTCAGTCTGAATGCTTTTGAAATGCAGACTGCACCTCATGCAGGCTGTGAATTTGTATTATAGACTGAAAAGCATACTGCACCAGATTAAGAATTTAATAAAATATAAATACAGAATATGCATTGCACTTTTTTTCCCTGAAACAGTTTCTGAGATGAGAGATTTAGACTAAGTTCACATCCAGAGCTCCAGAATGTTTTATCAGTATTTAATGATTTTAGCAGTACTGCCATTGAGGTTCTGCAGGTGTTAAGTTAGTTAAAAAAATGATAAATTGCCAGGGTCTATTATTTTTTTGACAATCATACATAAAGGAATAAGATAAGCTATTTTTACCCCCTAGCTAGAATATTTCAGCTCTCAATTAGAATGGAAACAAATTTGAGAATGGTAAACGGAACATCAGTTTATAAAACTGAACAATAAACAAGAGACAGGACTGTAGACAGATTAGTTTTACTTCTGTCACTGGTGAGGCAAGGAAACGTTAGAGCTAAATTAGAAGAATACTTACGATACAATGGTGTTTTAAGTCATCATGAAAAGAAAGAAAAGATGACATTTATCTAATTTGCTAGAATTATTTGATGAATCGGCAAAGACAACTGATAAAACTAAAGCATGTGACCTGGTATATTTAGACTACCAGAAAGGTCCCACATAAAAGTTCATCCTTAAATTATAAATCACAGGAATTGTTGGCCCATAGTTCTTTCTGATCTCTATCTGCATCTATATCAGATATACAGGAGGTTATGGTAAAATCTTTATTTTACAGCTGGCATAAAAATAGGGAGAATAGGCTATCAAAGAGACAGCAGCAAGGGAATTAAAAATACTTCAATTAAATGGATCGACACTTGAATGTTGATAAGTGAAAAGTGACCCACATGAAAGCAGGAATACTGTATATTACATTGATAGGTTAACAGGCTTCTAGGAAAATTAGCCCTGGTGTGAGTGTATACATTTGTCTGTGTTTGTATCCGTGTGTCCCACCCAGGGTGTAATACTGTACATCCTTCCACACAACGTGGGAAGACTTCAAGCCACCGTGACCCTGAATTGGATAAATGGTTAATGAAAATAATGCAACGTGAAATAAAAACTTTGGAAAGCAGATATGTATTCTGACGGTACTGATTGATGTGGCTCTTAAGCCAAATGTATGTCATTTTGAAACAGCTCACCCATGTGTCTCTGTGAAATTGCATTCTCATTGGAAAAAAAATGACCTTGACACAAATTGCAGCCCTTAGCCATAAGACAATTAACAACTGATCAATGATGTAACAGATATTACCCGTGTCCTTGAAAGCATGGATTGCTTTTGTTGTTTCTGAAGCTACTTGACTTACCATTCATATATTCTATATATACAAATGCAGTAATAAACATGAACATCCAATGAAAAATCACATTAGTATTTTGTTATGATTCACACACAATATAGTAAATATCCAATCAAAAATCACATTATTTGTTTCTTATTAAATGCAGAGGCACATCTCAACAATAAAAACACAAACATCCAGAGACAAAAAAAAATTAAGTTAGCACCACTTTTTCTGTATAACAGCAAAGTTTGACTTTAGCCTTAAGATTACTTCAAAGAAAGGTCTATTTCTGTGCGGCTGTGAAGGATGGCCTTAAACTCTACTGTTCAACAAGCACTTATACACAGATCTTGAAGGGTATTTTTAGTGATAGCAATGCCTTGATGGGTCAACCAAGAACCTCAGCTGTACAATTTACTGAGAGTTTTGCTTACCACATGTGGCCATTTCTTATAAGTGAAATTACATAGAATCCTGTGTGCTTTTTTCTTTGCAAAAGACAACTCTGCAATAAATGTTCCTGAAGATATTACATCGTCTAGAAGTGTGGTGTAACTTTAGTCTGGTGTTATGAGAAAGAGATTAAAGTCAGGGATGTTCATATCTTTTTGTTTTAAAAGCCATTTCAGATGAACATGCTAAGTTGGTTTTACTCGTCAAGCTGGTACATTTTTCTAATAAAGAAAAACAGCAAAATGATTTGGCTGAAGGTACACAACTTTTCATGACTGCATGAAGCTATTTGCAGTGACATTTCAATCCTGATATCAAGGTAAACCTTGAAGGAGCAAACAAAAAGCAGAGGGAACTTAAGTGCACTATCTTCTACTTTATAACAGAAAAAACATTGCATTTAGCATCCTTGGAGATGCTAGTATTATTTATCTAATAAATCTAATAATAGATTTATTATTATCCAGATGCAAGTATTATTTACTTGCACAGTGAACTGGCTACAGAACGGTATTAACTAAATTTAAGTTAAACCCAGATACTCTTTAAAATATCCAAATGAAAAAAACTTCTCATAAAATGATAGTGAGCACTATGCAAAAGGGTCTGGTTCCAGCTATTGTAACTCGCACTACAGCCTGCCCTTTGAAACACTGGATTATTAAGGGAAAGATTCT